AATAATAATAAAAAAGATACACCTTCATGGTGGATGTATTACCTCTTCCTCCATGACATAGGTGACCAGCTTCCAGTCCCATTCCACTGTCTTGGCATTAGCTGGATGCAGCCTGGAAGTCAAATGACATCAGTTAGAATCTTGGAGAGTTGGGGAGAAGAGATGATGAGATCAGGGAGTTGAAAAAGAAAGAATCTTTTTATCGTCAATGATCTTGCCCACCTTCTGATACCTCATAGCCTCAACCTGGGTATTTTAGAACTTCACTGCCTTTTGGTAGCCAGTTCACACTTCCTTTTTTTTAGGCATTAACAGCCCAGTTTTACTACAAGAAACCAATACTTTACCACATGAGCCCATAGGCAGCTGGCTTTACCCACTGGGATCCCGGAACAAAGCTTGTGACTTGTCTATCATAATATTCTACCTCTCAATTCATAGTGACTGACTGAATGATAGCTACATGTCTTATGTCAGTCCAACCAAAACTTACAATTTCAGGCTCCTGCATAACTATTAGGGAAGTGGATTCTTTCTCCCACTAAGGGTTTCATGAAAGCCTGAAGCTGGGGACAGCAAGGAGAGGGTGGCTACTGTATTGAATATGAAAATAGAGCTAAAGCAGAGTGATAAGTGAGTACTGGTGACCAGTTCTGAATATTGACTCAAGTCACAGCATAATCCTAGGTTTCTAATACAGACTATTAAATTATCTTTGACTAGTGGTTAAAGTCAGTTTGGGTTAAACTTCCTGTCATTTGTGACTCAAATTACATTAATATACTAAATGAGCCTCTTTAGGAATTAGCCCTCTTTGTGGGTGAGAGAAATCAGTGCCCAAAACTTAGAAGATTTGCCACCAGTCGAAGATTCCTACTGTTGAATTTTCATGAGGAGCATGTAAGCATCCTTTAGGACATCCAAGGTCTCGGAGCCGCTCAGCAGGATTTTCTGGATGATGTGCGCCACAATTTCTCTGGGTGGATAATGTTGAGGTGACACAAAGTCCATGAGAAACTGCACAGTCCCCAGAGGAAAATTTTCTTCAATCGTATTTGTCACCATTCTTAGTCTTCGGTGTGAGATGGGTTCTACTTTCTGACTTTTGTTCTGTAGAGATAAAAAGAAATGAGTTAGGATGGGTTTCCACAGCATCTAAAAAAGAAAAGGTCCTTAAACAGCTTGAAGACAGTTTCATGTTTCATGCATTTGAAGTTCTTTCCATAGTTTCCTTTTCATAATTTTACTAAATAAAGATATTTAGAAGGTCTTATCTAAAGAAATTTTAATTATAAAGGAAAATGTTTATATAAACTTGAAAAAAGTTAGAATTCAAAAGTTCATATAGAACATGATTTCATATATGTGTAAGTATGAGATAGAAATTATCAAAAACTATCACAAATAGATTTTGGGTAAAAAGATAACTAGTAAAACACGTTTGATGATCCGAGGAGGGGAGGAGCAGAGGGGTGAGGATGGGCAGGTGGGAAATCTTAGGGTCGCACACTTTGGTTGGTAGAGAGAGGGGTGGGTAAAGGAAACGGGAATGATCTGGCCGGGATCTGAAAAGACAGGTCAATAGTGGGTATATTTCGGTGTTGATTAATTTTGATGAGGCTTTGCCTCACATACTTTAGGCATGTTTCTAAGAGGGGTGATTTCTTGGAGAAGGACATGATGCTCAGAAACACAGAGGGTAGGCAAAGGAGAAGACCTTTGACCAGGTGGATTGACATAATGACTGCCATAATGGACTCAAATGTCAGGAAGTGTGAGGATGGCACAGGATAGGACAGGGTTCAGATCTTTTGTTCATAAGGTTGCTTTGGGCCTTACTTGACTTGACGGCATCTAACAACAGCAACAACAACAACAACAACAACAACAACAAATGGCAGAGGCTAGTTTCAAATAGAAATGGTCTCATTCTAGAGCTTCTTTTCTAATTTCTACTGTCTGCAAATCATAGAGTGTGTTGGTGTATGTATAAATGTGTGTGTGTAAATCCAAAGGAATAAAAATTTTAAATGTCTATGTATAAAATTCTGAGAAGGAAAAGAAATTCCATATAACCCAGCTATTCCATCGTTTGGAATGTACCCTGAGAAAAACGAGAACTGAGGCACAGAGACTTGTATACCAATGTTCATAGGAGCGTTATTCACCATTGCAAGAACATGGAAATGGCCCAGATGTCCACCCACAATTGAATGAATTGAGAAATTATGGTACATTCATGCAATGGAATACTGCACAGGATGGAGGAGCAGTGAGTAAATTATTACCTAACTCTGGAGGGACTGGAGAGCATTATGCTGAGTGAACTAACTCAGTTTCACAAGGACAAATACTGTATAAAACCATTATTGTAGAATGAGTATGAGGATCCAAGAGTGGGGAAGGGTGGAAATGGAGAGGTGAGGATGTGCGAGGGGGCGGGGTAGGGTCAGATTAATCATGGGCTTGCACAATTTAATGGGTGGTGGGTGACGAAATTGGAAGAATCTGGTCTGAAAAACAATGTACTAGAATTTTGTAAATACACTAGTATAAATAAGAAAAATAAATTGAGACATTTGAAAAGAAAAAAAGAAAATATTCAGACTGGAAAAAGAAGAAAATTAGCAATAATAAATGCTGAGTATCAACAGTGTGGCTGATATTTTTTTAAAAAGGTATTACAATAAGTATTTTTTTAAAAACTTTAAAAAAATTATTATTTTTTTGTGGGTGTTTAGTGTCAAACCAGATCTGACTGGTACAGGAGGAGGTTGTCCCTCCTTCTCCAGCAAAGCAACCGTTGGATTCGAACTGAACACCTCTGGGATTGAAGTGCAGCTTCTTGCCACTAGGCCACCAGAGCTCCCCAATAAGTATTTTTTTAAACTCAGGAAAAAAAAAAATTAACTTTAAAATAGCCAACCAGAGTTCTGATAGCATATGTGGAACAGTGTAAAACATGACAGTTGGACTTGTCCTTTCAGAAAACTCTTGTGGAGAAGATCAGCTAGCTTTCCTCACATCTCAAACACCTGAGGGTCGTCCCAAGGCTCTGTGGGACATATGAGAAGGAAGAGTGAGAAGACAAGAGACACAAACATCTTGCTTTGATGACAGGTTTTACACAACCGTGGGTCCTTAGTGTTCCTTTCTTGCCTACAATGGGCACATCTACAAACAGATCAATTTGACAAACTTTTTATCTCCACATTCTTAAAAAGGACTAATATGGATAAAACATGTCTGTAGGTCCCAGAAGTTGACTGCATGCTTTAGGAATTCATCTTTGAAGTGAAAAAACAATGATTTGGGCATGATGATCCTATTTTAGGGCCATACAAAAGGGGCTTGGAGGAGTTAAAGTGAATGGCTGAAAAGTGGCAGTTTGGGAAATAGCTGCAGAAGGTCTGGGAAGAAATGACCCAGTGAAAAAGTATTTATTGAAGGCCCCATGTAAATTACAGGAGGGACAGAAAAGATTTATTGATGCATTCTAGACAGAAGTTCTTAAGAAGGAAAGAAGGAAAGATGAAGATGAAAAATCTATTCTGTCAAACTTTAGTTGTCAACTAAAATCTGAGTTAAGTGTACACAGAAAAAGATATGGTTTCCCGTATTCATCTGTGGGTGGCTTTATCCATGGCCTACAGAGGTTTCTCCCCCTGAAGCTTTGACTTGGGAAACTACTACACTTTTTCTAGTCTCCCAAGTGTTGGGGAGAGGGAACAGATGTATCATTGACTCGAGGTCAATGTATGGGCAAAACTAAGTTCATAGTCATTTTGAAGAAGACAAAAAAACCCACAACATTAAAACAAGGAAATCATTCTCCAAAGCCAAGTGAATAGGAACATGTGACAGAGGCTAAAGTGGCTCACTGGCTGCTCCAACAAGAAGGTGGCACCGCAGGACTTTCTGAAGTCCTTCAAAACAGTTTTCTGAATGTTGGGAATAGGGCTGTAGATAGGGAGGCGAAAAGAGAGAGCTATTGATTGTGTGATTTAGCCATGTAGATTACCCTTCCATATCTGGTTTCATCCTAAAAGATCGAGCACCAATGGGAAACAGCATCCCCACTAAAATGTCAATACTTAATTTCTCCCTTGAGGGGCAAGGAATAACAATCGGGGAGGCACTGAAGTATCAAGGGCATTATTATCTCTGTTATATGGGTGTTGTGTTAAAAGAATCCAGAACAGAATGGCTTCCTGAGATGAGCCAGCCACTCTAGCAGGCAGTTTACACTGTCTCATTTATCATCTTGTGAGAGACAAACTTTTTTTTTTAAAGCTTGGAAAGAATCAGAATTGACCCTTTTTTTTAACATACTATTTTTTTTCAGTACTTGTTAATTTTTTATTGTCTTTCTTTTTGAGACTTTAGATTTCCATTCATTCATTGTTGCACTTTTCTCCCTGCCCTAGTTCTCTCTTCTCTTTGAAAAGTAAAAGAAAAAGTCTTTCATTATCATACAATCCCTCCCCCCAAGTCCACTCCACTATGCAGCCTTCATTCTGGACTCCTGTCATGACAATGCCTAATCATATATCCTCTTAAAACAGTTCTCGCTCTCATCTGTTTCAAATTGTGTATGGTGCAGTGAAAGATACTTTGAGCTCTATTTTTCTAGACAATTGAAGCTTAGAAAAGTAAAGTGACTTGTACAAGGCCAGTGATTAAGTATGGAGCCGAAATGTGAAGCCTGATCTGACCCTACACTGCATGATGGGGAAAAGATAATAACGTCAATTGGCCTTGTCCACTCAAGCATGGATTCAGGTCACCTTATATGATCTATACAACAGACCCTCAATCCTTAGAAGAAGACAGATTTGCTTACCTCTCTTGAGTCTTTATCTGGTATTAATGTCTGGAAGAAGAGGTGGTGCACTGGAGGACGTAAGAAGTACTTCAGTCTATGCAGACATGGCCTGTTGGCCGGCCCTTCTACGCGGACTGACTTAGAGCCAGGACGCTCTAACACCGACATCTCTTTTTGGGATGAATTTTTAAGGGCTGAAAGCCAAGGAAATTTCTCTAGGTAAGGTTCATCTTGTGGAGACTGTGGCCTGGGAGAAAAGCTCTGAGAGGACGGAACTGAGATATCCATCATGTTACGGTTCTGGACTTCAATCTGCGACAAGTTAGGTTTATCTGGTGGTAAATTAGGCAAGCATCTAAGTGGGTGTGGCACACGTGTAGAGGGACGCAGCACGTCTCCAGAGGGACGCAGAGCATCTCCTGGAGGACGCAGAGTATCTTCTGAGGGACACAGAACATCTCTAGCAGGACGCAGAGCATCTCCTGGGGGACGCAGGACATCTCTAGCAGGGTGCAGAGCATCTCCTGGGGGACGCAGGACATCTCTAGCAGGGTGCAGAGCATCT